GTGTTTGCCAACAATATTTATTTGTACAATTTATTAAGTAAGTTGCATACATTTTGTGAATACATTCAGTGAATTATAGTATCATACAAATTTGGTGAGAACTAAATACAATTTTTTGCATTTTCATGCAACAAATCCAAGACAAAATAAAGGAAATTGTGCAAAATTTCAATCAATTGTGAAGAAAGGATATTGTGTGTAAATATTGAAGCTAAAATGAAGAAAAAGGTTTGGAAGTATGCAGAATTTGAAAAAATTGTAAAGTAATGTAATTTAATGTAAATATTGAAGCGAAAATATAGGAAAAAGTTGGGAAATTTGCAGAATTTGAATCAATTGTAAAGTAATTGAATTGTATGTAAAAATTGATGCTAAAATGAAGGAAAATGTTTGGAAATTAGCAGAATTTAAATAAATTGTAAAGTATTTGAATTGTGTGTAAAAATTGAAGCTAAAATGTAGGAAAAAGTTTGAAAATATATAGAATTTGAAAAGTTGTAAATTAATTGAATTGCATGTAAAAATTGAAGTCAAAATGTAGGAAAAAGTTTGGAGATATGAAGAATTTAAATAAATTGTAAAGTAATGAAATTGAATGTAAATATTGAGGCTAAAATGAAGGAAAAGGTTTGAAGATATGCAGAATTTGAATAAATTGTAAACTAATTGAATTGAATGTAAAAATTGCAGCTAAAATGAAGGAAAACGTTTGGAAATTTGCAGAATTTGAATAAATTGTAAAGTAATGAAATTGAATGTAAATATTGAAGCGAAAATACAGGAAAAAGTTTAGAAATATGAAGAATTTAAATAAATTGTAAAGCAATGATATTGTATTTAAAAATTGAAGCTAAAATGAAAGAAAACTTATGAAAATATGCAGAATTCCATTTATTTGTAAAGTAATAAAACTAGATGAAAAAGTGAAGCTAAAATAGAGGAAAAACTTTGGAAATATGCAGAATTTAAATAAATTAAAAATTAATGAAAATCGATTTAGATATTGAAGCAAAAAAATAAAGGAACAAGTTTAGAAATATACATAATTTAATGAAATTGTAGCTAAAAATGAAGAAAATTGTTAACATTACAGAACAGGACAGGCCAATGGTGAAAGTAGTCTTTATCTAAGTTACATAAATTAAATGATATTTAGCATTATTCAAAGATAATGCAGACGTTTCAAACTCGTGACTTATTGTCTATTAGGAAGGCAATTGCAGAACTGATGGCCATCAGAAACTGTAAACGACAAAGACGTTTCTAATGACAATCGAGTTAAAATATTACGGAATCGAATGCAGGCAGTTGCGGCCGAAGGCGCAGGGTGAATGAATCGTAGTGTGCTGTTATCGAAGAAGAAAACGATTCGAATAGTTCTAAACTGGGATCAATCTTCGGGAGATTACGAGCATATCTGCAAGACGTCACGCGCATAACTTTACAAATTACGTGACGGACGCGAAACGTAAACATTTTCAAAGAACATCCTCTAATTAATTATACAAATTGTTTGATTGCATTTTGCGCAATTAACAACCGTTTCCATCCGGTTCAAGATTCATAGATTCTTTTAGATTTACACCGTCAATGTAACATGTAGAAGACGTTTTAGGTCAAATAAGTTAAATTCGCGGGTCGCTGCTCAGAATCCACCCATTGTTTGTAAATTCGCGAAGCGATTACGAATTTTTTTTTAACGATTTTGAAAGCTTTTTTTTGGTGTTCGTTTTGGCAATCCGTATCATCGGCAAAGTCAAGTGTGTCAAGGTTGCTGTATTCTGGAATGCCTTGCGCCCGTTCGACATCGCACGAATTCCGCTGGACAAGAGACAAGAACAAACTGTTCACTTTTTATTTTATCTCGCCAGCTCGGATCTCTCTATTCAACCGATGCGTTCTCCTGCTCTTTCCTCTTCTGTATTTCTTGGTTTTGTCTTGTTCTCGTCTTTCGTCATCTCAAGGAGATGGTGACGTGTACGCAGACCATATGCTTGTCTTCCTGACCTTAGACGCCGGCTGGCGACGAATCTGACCAAAAAAAAAATGTATTTATAAAGTTGCTTTCTTCATTGCGCAATTATAATTCGCCAATTTTACGATCCAATTATTTCGTAATTCAAGCGTTTACATCTAAATCGAATACATAAAAAACACAGACATATTTAAGTTGATTAAGCTGTGCAACTTTCTAATTATTAAATTTGCTAAAACTGGGCACAAACATTTAAAAACTTCATCAAAAATTTCAATAAAAAAAAAAACAATAAAATGAAGGAAAACGTTTGGAAATATGTAGAATTTGAATTAATTGTAAAGGGAAGCAAAACGTTTAGAAATAAGCAGAATTTAATTAAATTAGAAAGAAATTAAATTGGATGTACGAATTGATGCTGAAATGAAGGAAAACGTTTGGAAATATGTAGAATTTAATTAAATTATAAAGTAATGAAATTAATTAATTAATTTGCTAAAATTGGGTTAAATGTAATAACGAAAAACATTGAAAATCTTCATCAACAATTTCAATAAACAACACTTTCATCAACTTACGGATAAATACGAATCTTTCTAATTATAAAATTTGCTAAAACTGGTCACAAACATTTAAAAATTTCATCAATTATTTCAATAAAAACACTAAAGTCTAAAATGAACGAAATTGTTTGGAAATATGCAGAATTTCAATAAATTGTAATGTAATGAAATATTATAGTAAATTTGTTAAAATTGGGTACGTTTAAATAACGAAAAACATTGAAAATCGTCATCAATAATTTCAATAAACAACACTTTCATCAACTTACGGATAAATCCGAATCTTAAACCATAATTTAAACGTTTTCATCTTCCAAAATCGCAAAGAGAAGACAAACATCTTTAAGCTAATTCTGCGCGACTTTCCAATTATAAAATTTGTTAAAACTGGGCACAAACATTGACAAACTTCATCAATAATTTCAATAAAAACACTAAAGTCTAAAATGAAGGAAATTGTTTGGAAATATGCAGAATTTAATTAAATTGAAAATTAATGAAATTGGATGTAAAAATTGATGCTGAAATGAAGCAAATCGTTTAGAAATAAGCAGAATTTATTTAAATTATAAAGTAATGAAATTTTATATTAACTTTGCTAAAATTGGGTACATTTAAATAACGAAAAACATTGAAAATCTTCATCAATAATTTCAATAAACAACACTTACGGGTAAAGACGAATCTTAAAGCATAATTTAAACGTTTTCATATGCCAAAATCGAATTATTGCACAAAGTGAAGAAATAAACATCTTTAAGCTAATTCTGTGCAACTTTCTAATTATAAAATTTGCTAAAACTGGGCACAAACATTTAAAAACTTCATCAATAATTTCAATAAAAACACTAAAGTCTAAAATGAAGGAAAATGTTTAGAAATAAGCAGAATTTAATCAAATTATAAAGTAATGAAATTTTATAGTAAATTTGTTAAAATTGGGTACGTTTAAATAACGAAAAACATTGAAAATCTTCATCAATAATTTCAATAAACAACACTTTCATCAACTTGCAGATAAATACGAATCTTAAACCATAATTTAAACGTTTTCATCTGCCAAAATCGCAAAGAGAAGACAAACATCTTTAAGCTAATTCTGTGCAACTTTCTAATTATAAAATTTACTAAAACTTGGACAGAAACATTGAAAATCTTCATCGATAATTTCAATAAGTAACATTTTCATCAACCTACGGATTCGTAGGCATTTCAATTTATGAATATGCAAATTGAAGCTAAAATCTATGGCTCATAAACTATTGTCTTATTTTTTTTTTGTTTGTTTTCTGCTCAATATTTCTTCCACGTAACATGACGTAGTCGTTTTTCAATAAATTTCATTCAATTTTGCATATATGTTAATAATGGATTATTCTATTACATACACTTTTCTATTACAAATAGTCTATAAATTTAGTATGAAATTATAGTTAAAAGTCTGACTTTTCCAACAAACCCATTGTCAGATTGCTGCTGTCATCCGTTCATCTGCTACGAGCTGTCAAAAGTGTCATTGCTGAAAATGCTCCATCTTCACATTTTATTCAATTACAAGATAACCACGCAGAATAATTACATAATTCAACAATAATCTTAAACTAGAAACTGCCACCTTTCAAATGGGTGCGCTAACTTCAATATATTGGATTTTGCAACTTCTCGAAAATTTCCATTTTTTTTGTTAAAACTAAGAGTTGTTAAAAATTTTAGTTTTTACATAATAACTCGAAAATTTTAAAACTTTTCTTATATTTTACTGTTAAATAAGTTGTGGGTAAATGTTGCCCAAGTCGTTATATAAAAAACGTTATAATATTACGATTTTTTTGAAAATTATATAAATTTAAGATAATTGAATTAGTTTAAGTCTAATAAAAATGAAACATCGAATACAGTAAATAGATTTGGGTTATTTTGTAAGCGAACTTTCTACTATTTTTGTACATTACGATTCACAAACAATAAAAGTGCTATACAAAAAAAAAACGATACGAGAAGTGAATTTAAAACAGATTTTGAAAAAGTTTCTTTGTGACAATCTTATTAGAAATTGACTTAAATTAACTACGATTATTGAACATTCTTAGTGAATTAGAACTATTTCTATTAGTGTAAAATAAAAATGAGCGAATTTAAATTATTAATTAGGGCAGTTTATTAATGATGATTAGCAAAATTTCCAATTTTTTTTTGTTAAAACTAAGAGTTGTTAAAAATTTTAAGTTTTTACATAATAACTCGAAAATTTTAAAACTTTTCTTATATTTTACAGTTAAATAAGTTGCGGGTAAATGTTGCGCAAGTCGTTATATAAAAAATGTTATAAAATTACGATTTTTTTTGAAAATTATATAAATTTAAGATAATTGAATTAGTTTAAGTTTAAAAAAAAATGAGACATCGAATACAGTAAATAGATTTGGGTTATTTTGTAAGCGAACTTTCTACTATTTTTGTACATTACGATTCACAAACAATAAAAGTGCTATACAAAAAAAAACGATACGAGAAGTGAATTTAAAACAGAACAAAAAATGATAATCTTATTAGAAATTGTCACAAATTAACTACGATTATTGATCATTCCTAGTGAATTAGAACTGTTTGTATTAGTGTGAAATAAAAATGAGCGAATTTAAATTATTAATTAGGGCAGTTTATTAATGATGATTAGCAGATGCAAGTTTCGTTATGGTTTGAGACCTTCAGATTTCCATGACTTATATGGAGAAATCCTTGAAATTGCGCAGCAATTAGTCGTGACTAAATTAGAAAATTAATTAGCTGTTATGTTTGAGAATTTTAACAGATATTAAAAAGATCTCATCTGGTTGAAAATTTGTGAGGATTTTTGAAATGTAGTTTAAATTTACTGTTTAATCAATACGAAAACGTTGGCTCGTTAATTGTAATGTGCAATTAGAGATGGGAGCGTTTTTTAATTGTTTCAATAAGTAGGCTTGCGACGGTCCTGGCTGTGTGGACGAGTTGCATTTGTTCCGTGCAGAGATCATAGTTAAATCGGTGGTGGCGATTCCAAGAAAACCGCTCGCCTCCTTTTGGCAGTGAACGCGCAGCGACATTAAATTAAACGTTTGAAAGCAAACTGCACAACATTTCCATTCCCATCATCTGTATTATGATAGATATGATTGTGAATTAATGCATTAATAAGAAATGATGATCCTACTTAAAATAATTAAAGAAAAAACTTTGAAAACTCCTCCACCGAAAATCGTTTTTTTTCTTCTTCTACTGAGATCAGACGTTGGCACAGATACGACGTCTATTTATGCTCCTTTGTATATGACCTAGATCAGTCATAATTTCCTCTCCGGTCTATTTCGGGGGAGCGCGCTTGAGAGTCAGGATCACCACCCTCTCTCACTTAAGACACACTCGATTTAACATCTGCTGCCAGTAATTTTTGTGTTGCATTTCGTTCTGTTCCTTTTTTCAGCGAAAATGTCGAAAGTGGAGAGGAAAGAGTACAAGGAGACGAAGGTGATGCGAACGATGTCGCCGACGAGGTACGGCGGCTCCACGCACAACGTCACCGAGTTCGATAACAGTTTAGGTATGTAAAAGAAAATACAATTTCTCTTCAACAAAATCATGAAATTTGATGTTTTCTCTTTAAGATAATCTATTGGAGGACCTTCAGAGCACCGTGCCAAGATCCAAGGGCATCTCCAACGGCTCCTCCACCATGACAAGTTACAGGGAGACCTCGAGATCCGCGAACTCTTCGGATCACGCCAGAAGCAGCTCGATGACACGAGTCAAACCCTCGAATCCGATCACCGAATACTCAACGGACGATTCGTATCTCTACACGGTACTTTCCTGCAAAAACATTAACGAATTTAGTATTCGTACAACTTTGAATAAGTGTTTCAGGCTCCCGATGGTTCTCAGCATGTGAAGACTGTTAAACACGAGTCGTATTCGTACAAGAGCACCGGCGACGTTCATCAGCCGGAGAAGAGTCGCATGCAGAACAACATCAACCAGTTGGACTCGCTGCTGGACGATCTGCAGCAGGTTAAGCAATCCGGAGGTTAGTGCCGTTGGTATTGTGGCTGCAGTTGGAGCCAAGAGTGAATGAATCACCGTTTCCAATTATATCTGTTTCAGGCTACAACAATAATAACAACAACAACAACAACAACCTCACCGCCGAAACGGAGTATCAGTGAGTAATTGCTAAAATACTTATGATCTTATTTATAAACGCTGCATTCGATTACGAAATTATAATTATAACATAATTATAACAATTGTTAATTTAAATCACGGCCTCCTTAAAATCCTAAAATATTTTCACGGCCCACTGTTTTAAAATAGTGATTTTATATAACTACTAGGTAATGAGACTTCTGTTCACTAATTTGTTTGCACTTTAATTACTAAATGCTATTCGCATGCAAGAGATTATCAAATTCACAATTATCTGCAATCATTTGAGAAAACATTCGATTTTGTTCTTCAGTTAGTTTTTATTGTAATTTGAAGAAGTTTTGTATATGAGAGATTGTGTTTGTTTATTTGATTGGATTTTTGGTTTACAGTAAGAGCAAGGTCGTGTCTGGAAAGAGGATCGTCGAGAAGGATGTTTACCAGCCGCGCACCGTTGAGCGAGATGGGTCCGCGTCGAAAGAGATTTACCAGCACTCCGAAGGTACGTGGACTCTTCATAAATCTCTCTTGAATTGTTGAATTGATACGTTTTTTGCAGGAACTTACGGTGACATCAAACGCACCGCCAGTCCATCGCCCATCAGAAGCAACACCTCGACTTTGTCCAAGCAGATGAAGGTGAGCAACGTGCAAGCGTATCCCGTGGACATAATCGAGACGACGACTCCAGACATAAACCCGGAGATCCTGGCCAGTTTGGATCCGGAACTGCTTCCAACCGGTAACACGAAAGTGACCACGACGATCAAGACGTACACTTACGAGATTCCCGGATCCGGAACGGCGGATTCCGATAAGTACGTGTACTCACCAAATCAATCTGTGACGACGCCGAGCAAAAGCTTCGTTTACAACAAGTACGAGAACAATTCGTTGTCGAGGAATTACCAGGCGGAGAATCGTTACGTCCCGCCGCCTTCGCCGACCGGCGGAGACAGGCAAGTCATCAAGGAGACGGTGACGACGAGGAATTACCAGCCGAAGAACTATCCAACCGAACCGAACAAGCACACGTACATTTACAACGAGACAACGAACACGAGGAATTTCTCGGATCAACATTACTCTCCTTCTTCTCATCCTCATCAGCAACCGCAGTACCAGCATCCGCCGAGGAATACTGAGACGTACATCATCAAGGAGACGAACACGACGAACAGGGGCGGAGATTCCCCCGATCAGGGTCATCTTCCGCCGGTCACCACGACCATCCAACGTTTCGATTCTCTCACCAATCTGAACGCTCGCCAATATCCCGACGTCGAGGTCTTCGACCCGAAGAATCCACCGTTCCCGACAGGTCATCATCATCATCAACCCCAACAACAACCGCATCCCCAATCGCAGCAGATGTACCCGCAGAATCCGAGTCCGAATCCCGAAGTCAACGTGACCTACAAATACAAGTCTACCAGCAACACGACCAACACCTACAGAGGTCAAAGGCCGGACGAGCAGTACGAGAACGCTCCTCTCTTACCAAGGAAATTCCCAACGGATGAGAACGGACCTCCAAGGAAATTGGACGAACTCATGGCAAATATAGGACAAGAAGTGAGTAATATCAATTACGTTATCTTTATTTCATTCAAGTTAACAGATTTCAGTGGGCAGAAATACTTGCATTACCTGAATCATTTAAACAGTGATGCAATTGATGACTGTTGTAGAAAGTAATTCCACGAATTTTCTTATGAAATAATGTGTATATGCATCTTTTAGATCAATTCTATCTATTATTGTTTCTAAGAAAATCATTATAATGTTAAGACATTGACTTCATTTTTTCAACTTTGAACGCGAATTACACCCAAATGGATACATTCCACAAACATATGATTCTTTTGGATCCATTCTAGATTATTTTTGAAAGCCAAATTACATATTGTCTTCCGCGAATATTAATATGCATCTTCTGGATTCATTCTATCATCTATTCTGAGAAATTAACACATTTTGTTGTTGTTGTTGTTAACAGCCTCCGAATAGTCCTTACAACGCTGGTTGGCATGCGCACGAAGAGGAGTTGGCTCAGCAGAGGAAGATCGACACTCTGAAGGCTCAGAGCGAGAAGAAGGAGGAGAAAAAGGACGTTCCGAGGACGAAGAACGTGACTGGTCCACCGGTCTACTATCCACCGGGTCACGAGATGTTCGCCATGAAGGAAGAGGGAGGTGGTGCTTGGAGGGCCGAGGTATTTGAAGAACTGCTGAAACTCGAGATCGTTTTCAGTGTACTCATGCGTTTTGGTGATTGTGATTTCAGGGCGCGATGGCCAAGGAAAGAGGAATGTATAAATACGAGGCGGAAAGCAAGAGCAAGTCTAAAAGTAGCTCGGGCGCCGCCGTCGTGCCAATCTGCTTGCCACTGTGCTGCGGCCTTCCGTGTTCCATCATTTAAATAATTCGCATTGGAAGAACGAAGAACGACTAGAAAGTCACGTCGAGCTTTATTTATTTTAAGGATCACGATGAACCTAATCAAGAAATAACACACGCCAGAGTTTAACCAATTTTAATCGACGGAGTTTGCCTCTCGGACGAGTCTTGTACATTACTTTAAATTTTATTTATTAAAACCTTTCTTTTTTTCTTCCTTCATTATTATAATTTTGTATTCTTAAGTATATCTAACTTTGTAAATTCACCGAGTTCTTTTTGTATTATTGATCCACTAAACCAACGGGAAAGAAAGAAAGAAGGAAAGAAACTAAATGGAAATTATGATGTAATCGAAGCGAATATTATTGTGCCATTACGAATACGATTCAAACTAATTTTAATACGTGGGTGGTTTTAATGTGTACTATTAATAATATACATTGTATTTCGATGATTTACTGCGTACCCTGTACATATACATTATTGATAATAACAATGCGATTCATCATTTAGCATACGTTTGAAATAAAAATTTTAAAAAAAAGCTTCACACATTAATTACTACATATACATGGACACGTGCAATTACAATTATCGAAATCCACGCATAATCTCAGCCACGAATCTTGATCGAACGATTTATTAAAAATTTATACAAATAAAATGTTTATTAAATCTATTTTTTCGTATACTCCTTATTCACCTCAACCCCTTATTTATTTATTTATTTAAATATAAGCATTTTGATTTTAGTCACGCGCGTCTTTTAATTGCTAAAATAGTTACCTTGAAGCTATGAGTTGTAGAAAGTTTTTTCGTAAGTTCTACAGTTCATAGCAGGCGACTCGGTGACAGCACTAAGATTTATGTAGGCTTGTTGGAAAGGCGAGCTTTTCAGCTTTCAAACGAGTGTTCAATCATGTAATTATCTTATGGGATTGTCGAGATATTAATGAGAAACTAAAAAGACTGAAAATAAACGTCGTTTCTCTGTTTTTTCAATTTCTGCAGCTCATATCTGGCGACTCGATGACAACACAAAGATGTATGTAGGCACGTTGGAAAGGTGAGCTTTTCAGCTTTCAAACGAGTGGTCGATGATGTAATTATCTTAAGGGGTTGTTGAGAAATTTACGAAAAACTAATAAGACTGAAAAAAATACGAGAAAACCGTCTTTTCTCTGTTAACGTATAAAACGTTAAATATGTGTTTTTTTTTTCAATTTCCACAGCTCATAGCAGGCGACTCGGTGATAGCACTAAGATGTATGTAGGCTTGTTGGAAAGGCAAAATATTCAGCTTTAATATGAGTGGTCGATGATGTAATTATCTAAAAGGGTTGTTGAGAAATTCACGAAAAACTATAAAAACTGAAAAAAAATACGAAAAAAACGTTCTATAGCTCATAGCAGGCGACTCGAAGACAGCACAAAAATGTATTTAGGCACGTTGGAAAGGTGAGCTTTTCAGCTTTCTAACGAGTGTTCAATCATGAAATTATCTTTTGGGGTTGTCGAGATATTAATGAGAAACTAAAAAGACTAAAAATAAACGTTGTTTCTCTGTTTTTTTCAATTTCTACAGCTGTAATTATGTAATTATCTTAAGGGATTGTTGAGAAATTTACGAAAAACTAAAAAGACTGAAAAAATTTCAAGAAAACCGTCGTTTCTCTGTTAACGTATAAAACGTTAAATATGTGTTTTTTTTTCAATTTCCACAGCTCATAGCAGGCGACTCGGTGACAGCACTAAGATGTATGTAGGCTAGTTGGAAAGGTGAGATATTCAGCTTTCAAACGAGTGGTCGATGATGTAATTATCTTAAGGGGTTGTCGAGAAATTTACGAAAAACTATAAAAACTGAAAAAAAATACGAAAAAAACGTTATACAGCTCATAGCAGGCGACACGGAAACAGCACAAAGATATATGTAGGCACGTTGGAAAGGTGAGCTTTTCAGCTTTCAAACGAGTGTTCAATCAAGT